CCCCCCCCCCTCCCCCGCCCCGGCAAATACCGCCGCGTCAGCTTTGCAGCTGTAAATTCGGTGTCGTATGTCGCCCCGTCCCTTGGCGCTTGGCTGGGTTACACATCCACCGCTGCCGCCGCCTCGGGGGCGGGCACGGTCGGCGCGTTTAGTGCCGTTTCGGGGGCGGCGGGGGCGGGCGTGGCCGGCTACAAGATGACGAGGAGGACGGCAGGGGTGAGTGGGACACCGCACCACTGCTGCGGCCGCTTTTGCAGTGTTTTTTTATGAAATATACATGCAATCAAAGAGACTTCCCGTTCGTGTGTCGCGTCGTTAAGGCGTTCTCCACGAGTATTTCTGTGTGGCCAGTTGCCCTTGGGCGCTTGGTTTTTGACAGCACGCACTCCGTTATAGCCGGCTGGGTCCGTGTGCGTTTTTTGTTTTTCGTTCAGTAGTGTTTTTGCCAGAGCCGTTGAAGGAGAAATCTCTGCATACACCGGTAAACGACCAGCGTGATCGTCATACCTACATGGCACGGGTAGATAGAATACAGCCCTGTGTGTACCATACCAACCACAACGACGTTCTTGTTCCTGTTGTTACTCGTTCGTGCGAAATCGCAACAAATTCATCTTCCACGTTCCACAGATATAGGTGTCCGGGATAGATCACCAACATCGTGCTTTTGTTGCCCACTGTTTTGTGTGTGTCCCCCGTCCCCGGGTTGTCCCCGCTTTTCTTCGTTCACCGACACGATATTAAAAAATGTATGAACAGGTTCAGGAGTTCCACTTCCTACCTCTGCATACCGAGTGGCCGCTAGACTCTCCCGAATCCATGTTCGAGGGGGCATCTGAACCCGGCCTGCCGGTGTTCATCTGCGTGCCCGGGTGGCACGAGCCTGGCCACGATCCACGGTACGGGTTTTCAATTGTTTGTAATAGTTTCCGGTGTTTCGTCGACTTGTTTTTCTGGTTTGACAAGAAATCGGTAACTTGTACAATTAACCGCCCTTATTTTTTTTTTCCGAATAAGAAATCGGTAACCGTGACGCGGGAGCAATGCAACTCACACGTGTGCACTCAGCTTCTGATGTGTCGTGATCCGTACAAGCCTTCGTTTTATGGTACTCAACGTTTTACGTTTTTTTTTTTTTTTTTAGTCGTCCCAAGACAGGAGGCGGCATGATTCGAAGGATGATGCTTCGTCCTCACCTGTGTCCCTTCAGTGGAGAGCGACGTCTTTTTGGGCATCCTCTCTCGAACGAAATACCGGTTTGTGGCTTAGGCGAGCATCACAAAAGGAGCAAGCACTGGCCTAGTGTGTCGCCATCACACTCCAGAAATATTATTCGTCGTTGTGTATCCGCGTCGTTGTGTATCCGCGTCGTTGTGTATCGGATACACAACGACGCGGATACACAACGACGCGGATACACAACGACGAATAATATTTCTGGAGTGTGATGGCGACACACTAGGCCAGTGCTTGCTCCTTTTGTGATGCTCGCCTAAGCCACAAACCCGATTCTCTGCTGAGCGAAATATTCGCCCGGAGGCCTCCCACTCCTCTCCAAACATCTGATGACCCCGCCCCCCGCCCCACTCTTCCTCGTGTATCCTCACCCCGCACGATTTTCGTCACGACGACGTTAGGCACATCTGGGGAGGCATTAGATACGCCAACGTCGCCTCCACGTCTGAAACCCCGGGGACGGCGGCCGAAAATACCCCCGCTTGCCCTGCCCCGCCGCCGGGCTCCACAGCAGCGGGAAACTCGGGGGCACTGCGGGGCAGAGCAAGGGGGGAGACGCGGAGGGGAAGGTTCGGAGGAACCCCCTTCTCTCCGCCAGCCGCCGCTCCTGCTATGCCTGAATTTCCTGGCTCGGGGTGCAGAACAGCGGCAGCGACAACGACGGCAGCAGCGGGAGAGGCGCCGGCTGCGGCAGCATCAGGTTCTAGTGGCGCGGTGTCTCGATGGTTCTCGGCCGCCCGCGGGACTGTCAGCCGCGACAGCGGCGGCGGCGGCGGCGGCGGCGGCAAGCATAGCAGTAGCCGCAGCCATACCAGCAGCAGCAGCAGCAGCCGTACCAGCAGCAGCAGCAGCAGCAGCAGCAGTAGCGGCAGCGGCAGCGGCAGCGGCAGTGGCATCAACAACCATGGCGGAAATGGTGTCGGTTACGACGGCAGAGGGGCCGGCGGCGGCGACCGCGAGACTGTCAGAACCCGAAATACAAGCGGTCTCTCGCGACCACCACCAACACAACAACAACAACATGGCATCGGAAGCGGCGGCGGCAGCGGCGGTGTTTCAACCACTTCCCCAATGGTCTCCTCGTTCATTGACCTGGGGCTGGAGAGAGCGAAAGCAGCGACGACGACAAGACGTCGCAGGAGCGACAGCAACACCAGCAGCACCACCGGCAGCGTCGGCAGCGCTACCACCTTGCAGGAGGGAGAGGAGGGAATAGGCAAGGGGAGGGACGACGAGTTTCGGCGACAACGGCGGCGGCGGAGCAGAGATGGTGTTCAGGACAGTCCGGAAGCAGGCGTTATTTTGGAGGGGGGCGACGAGACGGCGGTGGATGGCGGCTGTGGCGACGATGATGGCGAGGACGACGATGCTCACCGGGTGATGGAAGACAGCTGGGAGGTAGGCTGGCTGGTGCAGTTGCGTGGCTTCGAGAATGTTCCACGGGTGATGATGCAACCTTGATTTTTGTTTTGCTGTTGTTGTTGTTGTTGTTGTTGTTGCTGCTGGTGGTGTACTCTTCGGTGAATGTTGTCGTACAGTATTTCGAGATTATTTGGTGACAATAGACATACTCTCTCTAGCATAACCAAGGTGAGTTTGGGCCAGCAACTGAGAACCCCCACACGCCCTCCTATCTTTTCTGAGCCACTGTTGGCAATGTAGGAAGGAATGATTGGCCATCGGTGATCGGTCCTGTGGGAACAATGCTCAGTCCTCTCGAAGACGCGTGGTCAGTGGTCTAAACGCTAGTGCATGCAACACATAAGGGTACGCCCCCCCCCCCCCCCCCCCCCCCCCCCCCCCCCCCCCC